TTGGAGGGCTGGGTCCTTCTGGTCCAGGCCAAGGTCCCCAACCTCTCTAGGGCGAGCACATGCTCGCGCGGCAGCTCCACGCCTGGGCGCGGCCGGCCAGCCCACCCAGGCCCGCGTCCACCCGCCTCCTCCTTGGACACCCTCCCGGCCTTCGTGTCCTTTCCTGGCACTGCCCGCGGAGACAACCACCCCCCGGGGGGCGGGAGCGCGCTGGACCGCAGCTGCCAAGCCGCCGACGTCTCCACCGTGGCGGGGGTGGGCGACAAAGTGGCCAGGAGCAGACTTCGCGGCAGGGTTCAAGCAAGGCCTGCACGCAGGGCCCTGGCACGCCCCGGAGCTCGGCTGGGTGACCCGCCAGAGCCAGGAAAATATCCTAAGGATGTAGTGCCTCTGCTGGCCGCCTTGGGGTCACGATTTCGAGGGTGCGTCCTTCAGGGGCCGGAGAGCGGGTGGACCCACGAGGCGGCTGCMGGAGGCGTCAGCCTCCCGGAGCACYTCTCCTAGCAACACCCACGACAGCCGCCTCGCGAGGGATCCTAGGGAATGTAGTTCTTCTTTGCCCGCTGGGGACCCAGTCATCCGGACTCCATTTCCCATAGGACTCCGTGCGTACTTCCCTAAGTCTCGCGAGAATTCTGGCCGGATCCACCCAGCCAGCGGGCTCTTGCGTGGGCCGCCGGGAGTTGTAGTCTTCTTCCAGAAGCCGCACCCGCCTGCGCCGGGGCGGGGACGGAGGAGAGACTACAAGTCCCAGGTGGCGCTGCGTGGCTATCCGCAGGGCGGGGGGTACGAAAGAGGAACCCGGGGGCGCGGGGTGAGTGAAGGGCTGGGGCGGGAGGGGGCGGCAGGCCGGACAAAGACCTGGAGGAAGGGGTTGTTGCGGGCCGCCTGAGGCCCAGCGGACTCCCCCAGTGTCCGGCCGTCCACCGCCGCCTCGCCCGGGATCCGGGAGGAAGTGCGGTGGGCGCGCAGCCGGACGCAGGGCCAGAGGGCTGCGAGGAGGCGCCCTGGAGCCGGCAGGGCGCGGGCTCGGAGGAGGCCGGGGCGGCCCTGGGTCCCGGGGCTGCCCAGTAGTGCGGTCAGCGACTCGGGTCTCCAGCTCTGTTGGTCCACTACGCCGAAGCGGCGTTCAGCGTGCAGCTTGGGCCGGGTGTGGACGCGTTTCTTACTGCAYGTCGGCAAATGCCCCCGCACCTCTTGGCTGAATTCTGCACTGCAGAGCCCTGCAGATTTGAAGGTGTCAGACTTGTCCTTTTTGTGGTCGTTTGTCTCTTAGTGTTGTATACAGGGAAGGCAGAAGTGAGAGGGGCTTCTTCGCGTTTTTTTGTTTGTGTTGTTGGTTTTTGTGGTGCTGGGTATTGAACCCTGGGCCTCACATGTGCTAGGCCGTGTGAGCTCTGCTGCTGAGCCCTACCGCTTCCCCCACGGTTTTCGTCTGGTGAAAACCTGGCAGACAGTGTTTGCTTGAAGGCCCAGCCTGGGCGGTCAAGGCTGGGAAGGAAGTTTCACAGCGCACCTCATTGTCCTGTTTTATTTCTTGCTAAGAGCTACTGACCAATAGTTTGTGTTGGGCCAGGATTAATGGCTACTTTATTTTTAGTAGCTCGTAGAAGGAAACGAGATTTGGATTTTATTTTCCTGACACATCCTGCTCCCAATAGTCTTCCCAAAAGCCAAGTAAGCAAACATCTTGACAGGCAGTCACCTGAGCTATCTGGTCCATAGGTAGCATCCCTGTGGGCCGAAGGCACCTCCGGCCCTCCCACCCCCTTCATCCTGGTTGTTCTCCCTGTTAACTGGGGTTTATCAGGTAGCTTGTTTAAAGAACAACCTCTTGCCACCATATCACTGAGGTGTTGGCACCCTTAGTGTGGAGCCACCCTGGATAGGCCCCGGGTCCAGCCCTGCTCTGGTGGCAGCAACACCAGAGGTCTAGAATTCTTTTTTTACAGCCCATCAGATGGCTGGCAGCGCTTGTTCTCTGTCAAAGCACAAGATGGAATTTTAGATCAGGAGGGTAAGTTCACCGGTTCCGAGCTTTCTGTTCTCTAGGGTCCTCTCGATCTTCCTGATCAGCAGATGGAGTGACTCACTAGAGTTGCAGGACCCAGAGAGGGGTCCCGTCATTCTCTGTCCTGGCTGACCTTAGAGGACAAGGGTCAAAATGTTGGCTGCTTTTTCCTTGGCTCTTTTACTTCCTTGACTTTGGTCTCCAAGTTTTTGGTTTTAAACACCCAGCAAGCCTGTTTCACCAGTCAGATGGCCAAAGTTGTGACTTAGTCCTGAGTTCAGTTTCCTTTTTCTCAAAGTGGACCATGATGGAGCAACCAGTACTGTCCCCTAACTCTCCTGCAGTTGGCTGTCAACAAGTTCACCAGCACCATGAATCCTCATCATGGGAATGGGGTTCCTTGGAGAGCCAGGCCTGCCCAAGAAAGCTGGAGCAGGGGCTACTCTCGGGTCCCATCTGGGTTGCTAAGTTTGTTGTTGAAAGCTTGGTCTTGAGATTTTCAAAGTAGAAAATGAACTGCATTTAGTTAATTGTTGAAGTGTAATTTATGTCCAGTGAGGGGCACGGGTCTTGTATCCAGTTCCATGAGTTCTGATATACACCTCCACCCACTTACTCCATGCTCCTGTCAGGTGTAGAGCCTGCCTGTCATCCCTTGAGGTTGCCTTTCAAGCCTTTCAGGACCCTGCCTCAGCAAGTGTTTGTGACCTGACCACTTTCTGTAGTGTCATGGAGTCACATCCCACCTACAGCTGTGCCACCCACCACTCAGCCATATGGGTGTATTTCTGGTGTGGCTAAAGAAGTTATGTGCAATTTTGGACCGTTTTTGTGGGCATGTGTTTTTCTTTCTCTTGGGAAGACAGCAGAAGTGCCACCGCCACGGCCAGGTGTGCAGTTCCTCAGCTGTGCATCCCCACCATCCAGGTGCCTGGTGTCTGTCATTCATCTCCCATGGTGTGATGGTGGCATGCATTTTTCTTCTGTGTATTATGTGCTCAGATGTCTGTTCTGAAGTGTCTCATAGGGCTTCATCATGTTTTTTATTACTGAGTTGTGACAGTCTCTTCTGTATTCTATAAACAGGGCTTTTGTTAGGTAGTATTTGTCTTGCAAATATTAACACCCCACACTCTTTTTTTTTTTTTTTTTTTTTTTTGGCTACAGGGGATTGAACCCAGAGGTTCTTTACCACTGAGCTATGTTCCAATCATTTTTAAGATTTTGAGGGGCTTCACTAAATTGCCTTGGCCTCCAGAGTCCCATTCTTTGAACTGCCTATTCATGTTATCAGTAGTGTAATTTACATTTTTTTATTTTGGAACAGATTTAGACTCTTATTTTGGGACAGATGCACTTGCCCYAAGATAATGGCCCACCTGACCTTGTTCAAACTTGCCCTGAGATAACGACGGGCTCACCTGACCTTGGTGCCCTTATAAGTTATGGGGCTGCAGTGGCATCACTGTGCATGTCCCCAGCTTTACCCCTCCAGGGCCCTATGCAGGACCCCACATTGTGTTTGGCTGCTGTGTCTTCCCCAGGCTGTGGCTGTGTCTCACTCTCTGGTGAATTCTTAGGATCTGAAGAGGCTTGGTGGGGTGTTTGTAGAACATCCTGTTTGGGTTCCTCAGGTGGACTGACATGAGGGACTGTCACGTCACTCATGGCAGACTGAAGGAGCACCAGGGGTGATCAGGTGAGGTGCTGATCCCATCACACCCCTTTAGAGCCTCTCTGATGTCCACAGAATACCCCTGGCCTGGTTGAGATGGTGTTTGTAGGTGTCTCTGCTGCAGAGTTGCTCCTTTCCCCTGTCCCTGCTGTCTTACAGTGAGTCTCTGTCCAGCCCATGCTGGGGATGCTATCTGAGATTCCTCTGTAAAGAGTGTCTCTTTCGTGGTGTTTGGCTATCAGTCATGCACTTTCACCAGCGTGGACGTGCCCTGCACTGGCCGTGGTTTATGCACTGTCGCCAGCATGGACACGCCCTGCACTGGCCATGGTTCATGCACTGAGGCCAGCATGGACACGCCCTGCACTGGCCATGGTTCATGCACTGAGGCCAGTGTGGACGTGCCCTCCTCTGTCTGTGGTTCATGCACTGTCACCAGCGTGGACATGCCCTGCTCTGGCTGTGGTTCATGCACTGTCACCAGTGTGGCACTGTGCACTGGCTGTGGTTCATGCACTGTTGCCATCATGGATGCACCCTCCACTGTCTGGTTCATGCACTGTGGCCAGTGTGGACACGCCCTCCACTGACTGTGGTTCATGCACTGTCACCAGTGTGGACGTGCCCTGCACTGGCCATGGTTCATGCACTGTTGCCAGTGTGGACGTACCCTGCACTGGCTGTGGTTCATGCACTGTTGCCAGCGTGGACGTGCCTGCACTGGCCATGGCTCATGCACTGTCACCAGTGTGGCACTGTGCACTGGCTGTGGTTCATGCACTGTCGCCAGCGTGGACGTGCCTGCACTGGCCATGGCTCGTGTACTGTCACCAGTGTGGCACTGTGCACTGGCTGTGGTTCATGCACTGTTGCCAGCGTGGACGTGCCTGCACTGGCTGTGGCTCGTGTACTGTCACCAGTGTGGCACTGTGCACTGGCTGTGGTTCATGCACTGTCACCAGTGTGGACGTACCCTGCACTGACCGTGGCTCGTGTACTGTCACCAGTGTGGCACWGTGCACTGGCTGTRGTTTGGTGCTCGGCCGTGTATTTCTGCTTGTGTAGTCTCAGCTTTGTGTTGGGGCACTTTCATCTGGCTACTGTCTTTTTTGATTTTTGAGCACTTTCTTTCTCATGCTGTAAGGTACTTTGGGCTCATGCTCCTATGTTTCCTGCCCTAGACCCAGGATCAGCCACTTCTCCAGGGAGCCCTCATTCCTAAGATTGGAGGGTGGTCTTAGAAACTAGAATCTAGGGGGCTGGGGATATAGCTCAGTTGGCAAAGTGCTTGCCTCACATGCACAAGGCCTTGGGTTCAATCCCCAGCAGAGAGAGAGGAGGGGGGGGGTAGATATGAGAATCAAGGCCCAGGTGCTCCTTTTGCTTCTAGGACCTCAGTGGACAGAACTTGCTGATAGAGCTGATTACACAATCAGATCTGTGTGTCTGTAATCTCTAACCTGGAACATGCTGTTAGGCTGTTGCCACTCTGGGTAAGACCCTGTTGCCCACCATCTGCAGCCCATTTCCTTCTTTATTCAGCCCCAGTGTGCATGCAGAGCACCCTCAGAATTGTTCCTCATATCCCTTAGGCTCGTTAGAAATAAAGTTACCAAGTAGAGCACAGAGTTCTGTGAGTTACAGTGGAGTTTTTTGTTTTGTTCTGTTTTGTAAATTCCTTAGGATTATATGTAAACAATTGTATCATCTGTATTGAGACAGTTTTACTTTTTCCTTTCTAAACCTTTTTTTTTTTTTTTTTTTTTTTTTGGTACCAGGGGTTGACCCTGAGGGGTCTTTAACCATTGAGCCACATCCCCAGCCTGTTTTTGTTTTTTATTTTGAGATAGGGCCTTACTAAGTTGCTGAGCCTTTCTAATGTTTATGGCTTTTCTTTTCTTTTCTTTCTTTCTTTTCTTTCTTTTTTTTTTTACTACATTGGCTAAAACCATAGAACAGTGATAAATAATGTAATGACCATATTAAAAAGGAGAAAAAACACATGATCACTCCAGTAAATGTTGAAAAAGCATTTAATAACATTTAAACCCCTTTCGTGATGAAGGAAAAACCTCTTAGCAAACTAGGAGGAGAAGGGAGCTTTGTGTGATAAAAGGCATCTGTGGAAAACCTACACTAGATGTTGTACTTGGCAGTGGAAAACATGAAGTACTTTATCCCTAAAATCAAGCAGCTAGCATTGCGCCTGGAGCCCTTACCTTGGCAGTAAGGTCAGAGGTAAAAACCAAGTTGGTTTCATCAGATCATRGAGGACAAGTAAAACTGCATTTGCAAGTGATGTGGTTATGTAGAGATCCTAAGAAATATTTAAAAAAAGYTGAGTATATTAAGTAAAATCATGAAGATCTTGGAAATAAAAGTTTATATGCAGAAATTAACTGTTCTGTTATGTATTAACAGCAGACTATTAGAAAATGAAATCAGAAATTCTTTTCTGTTTATAATCATACCAAGAAATAAAGTATTTAGTAGTAAGTCTAACTAAAGATATGCAAAACCTCTTCACTGAGAACACAGCACACTGGCTGTGGGAAACTGAAGTGACCTAGCGTGGGGGAGACGTGTTTGAAGTGGAGGACTTGACATGGTTGGAAGACCAGTCCTCCCTGCAGAACTCATGCAAGCCTTTTCTGTGAACTGACAAGCTGATTCTCAAACGTGGATATGCGTGTGACTAGGACTGCCCACGCTGTTGTCAAAAGCAGGTTCTTGTGGCCTGACCTCTGGCTGGGTATACACAGCCCCAGCAGTGGAGTACCCTGGAGCTGAGTTGGCTGTGGAGTGATGCCTGAGAGCAGAGCAGCTGCCCAGCAAGTACAGCAAGGCTGGGATGGTGGTTAGAACAGGTTTACTGAAAGGCCAGGGAAAGACGGAGGGGCACCCCAGACAGGGGTGGGCAGTGGTGAGGGAGAGGAGGCCCAGCCTCCCTGGGTGGAGTGCCACTTAGCCACTGAAAGGCACAGATGTGCAGATCAACAAGGCACTTCCAGAGGCCCTGTGCCATGTGACATAGCCAGACACAAAGCTATACCTGCTAAGTGACCCCTTGGTAAGAAATTCTAGAACACAGCTCAGTGCAGTGGCATATGCCTTTAATCTCAGCGGCTTGGGACAGTGAGGCAGGAGGACTGTGAGTTCAAAGCCAGCCTCAGCCACTTAGCCAGGCAGTAAGCAATTCAGTAAGACCCTGTCTCTAAATAAAATACAAAAAAGGGCTAGGGAGGTGGTTCAGTGGTTAAGCACCCCTGAGTTAAATCCCTGGGACCAAAAAAAAAAAACCAAAGAAATTCTAGAAAGCAGATTTGTGGTGACAGCCAGTCAGTGGGTGCCCGGGCCAGGGTTTGCAGGARGAAGGTTGCAGAGGGCTGCATTGCAGATGCCCTGATGATGTGCGGTGTGCACAGCTTTCCAGAACCCCCAGGTTGTGTGTTGTGTGCCAATCGAACCTCAATAAAGTTGACTAAGCAGTGCCAGTGTGACTGGAGTCTTGGACTTTTGGTTCCTTTTGTGACTTGACCTGGCCCTGGTTACCTTTCCCAGAAAGTGAGAAGGGACCCTGACACCAGTTTTCCCTAGGGCATGGGGAGATCTACTGAGCACATGTTAAATGGACAAAAAGAAAGGATGAGACATGACCACATCCTGTAGGTGAGGGGCACCATCTAAGAGGACTAGCCGTGAAGGAGGACTTCAGGAAGTGTGCACTTTTAGTGGGGTGGATCGCTGGCACTCTTCCAGAAAAGGCAAGCGCTGCTGTAGGCAGGAGGGCACTGGACCTGGCTTCATAGGAAACTATCCCGCAGGACTGGACACTGTCTGAACCATACCGTGTGGTTACTTTGCCAACAGACCTGGATGAATCTGGCATAAAGCAAATTACAGGACAGATGTGGGCCCCTCCCTGTCAAGGGACCAGAGCTTGTGCCCTCAGTCTTTGCCTTATGGGCTGTGTGGACCCCATAGTCCTCTCCCCAGGATCCCCAAGGGGGAACTTGCCCACTGCCCTGGGCCAGTCAGAGAGCACCGTTCCTTATTCCCCAGCCTCAAACTGGAACATCTCTGCATTTTTCCTGAGGACCTGCCTGGAAAGGAAGTGGGGACTGCTGCTGTGGAAGTGTCCTTGGTGCCAAGGTGTCCTACAGTGTGCTGCTCCCACCCCGCAGCTGTGTTTAAGTGCAGAGTTTCCTGGAGGTAACTAACATGAAAATATATATCCAGCAGTGTCGGGGACATTACGCCATRAGAATCACCCTGTGAGTTAAGTGAAATTTGTTGAAAGTAATACAAATGGGGGGCTGGGGCTGTAGCCCAGTGGTAGAGCGCCTGCCTTGCACATGTGAGTCACTGGGTTCCATCCTCAGCACTACATAAAAATAAATAAAGATATTATGTCCATCTACAACTAAAAAAACAAAAAGTAGTACAGATGATATCACTTCAAGGTTGTGTGGTGGGTGCTGCTAATGCTCTCTCTTATGTTACAAATGTGAGGTGAAGACAGACCTGCTGACCTGGGATCCCAACAACTGGGGAGGCTGAGGCAGGGGGGATCCCTCAGCAACTAAATGAGACCCTGTCTTAAAAAAAAAAAAGGACTGGGGATACAGCCCAGTGGTAAAGCACCCAAGTTCAATCCCCAGTACCAAAAAACAATAAAGATGGTGTGACTACTAAGCCACATGATGGTCAGGTGTCAGGAGTTAGGGTGAAGAAGTCTCCTTGCCATGTGTTTGCTCCTTGAGTCCCTCCRCCCAGGACTAGAACTTTTTGAACTCTAGCATTATTCTGGACCCATGTCTGCCTGCCCTAGGGACCTAGCTACCTACGGGGAAAAAGTCTGGGTGACCATGCCCAAAACTCCAACAGAACCTTGAGAGGTGTCATCTGGTCTTGGGAGACCAGAGATGCAGTGACCTCGTTTGCAAACGCCAACCYAATGAACCTGTTGGAGAGAGATCAGGATGCCCCTCTGGCCAACTCTGGACTCGCCTTGCTGGGAAAGTGGTCTTTACAGTGACCAGCAGCAGGCCTCACCTAATGGTCTTGATTCACAGGCCTTGGACCCTGGGCCTGCAGAGCTCAACGGTCAGGCCCATGAACTCCACACCCTCTGGCCAGGCTTTCTGCTGAGCACCTGGGTGAGGAGCTGATGCCTGCAGCTCTCATCCTGGAGGGGCAGGTAAGGGTGCCCTGGACCGCRCCCACAGACCTCACAAGGCAGGGACCTGTGCGCATGCCCCTGCTGGCCACAGCCCATCARGCCTGCCAGGTCCTCCCCAGCTCTGGGCACTCTCACTGCCATTGCAGCCCCTCCCCTTTCTCACGTGCACCTGCCACTCCAGAGCTGCTCCTTTTGCAGCCCCGCCCCTTCCAACTATGGCTCCACCTCCCTGACATGTTGCCTTCTTTTCCTGCTTGTGTCCCTGGCACTGCCCTCCTCTCTCGCAGGCCCCGCTGTCCTCCTGCTCCTGGCATGGCACTGCAACGCTTCACGCTCCTGGCTGGCCTTCTGGTGGGAGTTGCCAGCAAGTCCACAGAAAGCGAGGTTGGTGTTCCTGTCACATGTCCAGGTGGCCATCCTCCAGGGAGGCAGTGGGCCCTTCCCCTTTAACCTGAGGAGTCTTGGCACTCAGCCCTAGGGATGATGGAGTTCCCTGCTGGGGTCCAAGGGGCTTGTGTCTTGAAGAGGGCAGCAGACATGCCCCCATATGGTGGCTGTTTGGTTCTACCTTCTAGAAGACTGCCAGACCTACTTGTTTCTGTAGAGCGCACAAGGTCTCTGCAGATGCAGCCTGGAGCTGCCTGCCCACTTGCTACTTGCTCAGGAGAGTGACAGTGGGGTATCATGGCTCTGCCAAGCTGGTGACACTCCAGTATGCTGAGCTTTGGTGTCCAGAAGAGCTGAGCCAGGGCCGGGTGGCAAGAGGGTGGGGCATCCCTCACTGACCAGGCCCAGGCTAGTGTGAGGGTGCAGCTACTGGGCCTCGGCCCCTCCTGTGTGGCCTTGATGCTGCCCTGTGTCACTCACACTCCTCAGATGCCCCTCACTATTCACCAAACTAAAGTCACAGGAAACAATGGCCCAGCAGTGACAGTAGAGTCACACCTGGGGACCCCCCTGCCTCAAGGCCTGTCAGCTGCCCTGTTGTCAGTGAAGGCCAGCGCTCAGCATGTGTATGGTACCTGGGTTCAAGGGTTTGGCATGAGTTCATTTCCCCTGAACGGCTGACCTGGCCTGGGCACTTATGTCTGAGACCAAGCTGCAAAATCAAGGGGCATAAGTGGAATTGCAGAGGGCATCAGTGAAGTGCCCCTCCCTGTGGGGGTATGTTGGTCGTGCCAAGCCTTGGCAAGGCCCTGGCCAGCCTCCCAGTATTCATCGCGGTCCAGAAGAGTGTCCTTTTTCTCAAGACAGTGTCATTAGAACTGGCACTACAGTTCCTGGAGTGACTGATATCAATGATTCACTGACAGGAGTGTCTGCCCTGTTTCTCCCTGTGGCCCATAAGGTGARAGGTTGAGGCTGGAGCAGCTCTGCCCCGACCAGGGAGACCCTGTGGAGAAGGGGCCTTGGCCACCTCAGCTTCCCTAGTGAGGTCTTCAGGGGCAGGGAYGYCCACAGCCTGGGACATCTCCCCAGGTGGGGCTGGACACCTTCCTACCCCCGTAGTGGGGAAGTGTTCTTTCCCTCAGCCGTGTGACTGAGGCTCCTGCGACAAGGGACAGACTATGAGAGAAAGCATTTGAATGTAAGTTTTACATTACGTGGGAGCCTTCCTCAGGAACCCGTGTCCCAGAGAAGCAGGGATGCTGAGTGGTTGTGCGAGGCTTGAGGAAGAGGGGTGGTCCTGACCAAGTGGGCTTGGATGGAGAGTGTGATCGGATGGCCATGAACCAGGATCTGTCCAGCCGGGTTGGTCAAGACTCTTCTCTGTATCTTCCTCTCCTGGGGCATGGGCAAGGCCCTCTCCCTTGGGGTCTCCTGGTCTGCCTGAGGGACAGAGGGCAGAGGAGGTCAGAGAGACCTGCTTTTGCTCTTTCTCAAATGCACAGAATTCTGAGTCATCACTCCAGGCCGCCGTGCAGATCAGGCTCCCAGGGCCTCTGCTGCCTGGCCTTTGGGAGTGAGGAGGCTGCTGTGGAACCTGTCTGGTGGGTCAGGTGGTCATCCAGTGTTCAATGGCCACTCGCCCTGCACAGCTCAGAYAGTGCTATCCTCCCCTTGGAGGGGCACCCAGGGCCCCGGGGGAGAATGGAACAGTGACTCTTGAGATGTCTGGTCAGTAGTCCAGTCTCCACCCTGCTGCATTGGATCTCCCTGGCTCATTCTGTACTACCCTGAAGTTTTCCCTGGAGACTGCCCAGAGTGGGGCTCTTGCAGGGGCAGGCATGTGTCCTCACCTGCTTCTAGGCCAAGGGGGAAGCTGGGAGCCTGTTGCTGACTAGAAGAGGCAGAGCCATGAACGCTCACAGTGGACTGACAGTGTTGCCCTTGCAGAGCCTGCCTGTTGTCACCCCTCCAGGCCCAGCAGCCTGAGTGCTGTGTGGACGTGATGGACGCCAACACCACATGCCCAAGCACAGGCCTGTGTGGCCCAGGTGAGCCACTTTGTCATAAGCAATCCCCTGAACAGCTACCAAGCCACCAGCCCATGGTAGGCATGTGTCCCCGCCTGCCCCTCTTCAGTGGTGAGGACAAGAATGGTTTAGCCCCAATACAGCTCATGTCCAGTGCTAGCTTTCAACACCCACGATCAATATTTATGGACCCTATGTCTCTGGCCTCAGTGCTGTGTTGAATGTTGGAAAGAAGTACAGGAATAATACCCAGTCGCTACCCTTACAGGAAGCTGGAAGACAGCTGCTCACATGCTGTTGGCCAGTAGGAGCTAGGCCACTCCAGCACCTGGGCAGGGAGAGGGTGGGGCTTCAGGTAGTGATAGTCTGATATGGAAATTTGGCTTGATCCTGCAGGGAGACCCTGGGGGGGACAGTACAAGGATGCAGTAGTTACAGATGAGGGTTGTATCTGCCCTGAGTGGGTCCCAGTGAGTGTACGCATGCCCTGAAGGCCCTCTCAGATTCCCATCACCAGCCTCTGGACTGTCTCTTAAGGTGTTCAGCAAAGGATGCGGCCTCCTCAGCACCAGCCTCCACAGGAATCTGGGGCCAGAGTGACGTGCTTCCTGTGGTGTTTCTTTCTTTCTCTGGAGTTAGAGCCTTTGGTTCCACCCAAACTTCCAGTGTCCGTGTTTTTGAGTGATGGTTGATTTATAAACTCAAAAGATACAGAAATGCCCCAGGATACAGTGAACTGGCCTGGATTCTGCCTCTACTGAGAGCCGCCTGCCTCCTGTGTAGGCTGCTATAGACGCTGGAACGCGGACGGGAGCACCAGCTGCATCCGGTGCAGGAACGGGACGGTGCTGACCTATAACAGCTCTGAGTGCAGAAGCCGTATGTCTCCCAGACTGCTGCCCCCTACTCCTCCCAGGTCCTGGACTTCTCACAGGGGTCCACATCTCCAGTTTTGGGGAAACTGGAGTGGCTGCCCTTGTCCCCACAGAACCACTGTCCATCAGCAAATAGCCCCCAGGAGCCCTTTCTTCCTGAGTCCTATGTCCATGAGGAGCAGCGGTGGGGCGAGGGCTCTCTAGTGTCTGGTCTGAGGTTCAGGCAGGTTGGGGTCTTGCTCGGGTCCTGTGCCTGGCCCTGGCCTCCCCTCTGTTCTGCTCCCCACAGTTGCTGCCTGGGGTGCGCAGTTCCCCATGAACAAAAGCACAGGGCTGCCTGGACGGCCACATTTTGGTAAGTCTTAGTTCACCAGGCCAGAGCCAGGCCTGGGGTAGAGGCTCCTTAGAGCCATGGCAGCACAGACCCTGACAGCTGATGGGCCACAGCAGGGTACCTTGGAGGTCACGATCAGACTTCAGACCCAGCCATGCGCTCTGTGACAGGGACCCTGACCATGAAAGAGGGATTTCTGAGAATCCAGGGGCTCCTGAGGCTGAGGTCTGAGGGCTGAGTGTGGCAGGTACTGGGTGTGCCCTGGTGTGGGGGGTGCCATATCCTCCGTGGTCTCAGAAGGGCTGTTGGTGGAAGCCTTCCCTGCCGCACCTTCTGTCTGGTCCCTGCCTCATTCCGTGGCTGACGTGGCCCCTGTGAACTCAGGCCCCAGCAGGAGTCTGCCCCTCCCCAGTGGTTTCTCCAGGGCCTCGGCTTCTAGGACTGCAGGCCTATGGGCCACAGCACTGTCCTCGGGACGTTCCCTGTCTCTAGGTGGTCACTTCTCCCTGGCCTGCAGTCTACTTGAGTTGAGGGCCTGGTCAGGCCAGAGGTGGGAGTGTGGCTAGGAGTGGCTGGGGAGGGTGGGACCAGGTGAGAGGGAAGATCCGGACAAGGCAGGAGCTGGGAGAGGGGCCAGCACCCAGCGGGAGGGCACCATAGTCAGGGAGTGAACCCAGCTCCAGAGCAAGGTGGCCTCCTTTGCTTGAGGTGACTGAGTTGCTGTGGGGAACATCATCCCAGCCCCTCCTCTAGCAGCCCTGGGCTGGGCCTGGTCCTAGATCTTAGGCTCAGAGTTCTGTTCTGAGAGGCTCAGCTCTTCCCAGGAATTTGAGCCTGGCCTTCCCCTCCCCAGAAAATATGTTTGAGCTCCAAGGTGGCCTCAGGCCCAGCACTGGCCTGGACCGCAGAAGCCAGCAGCACAGAACCGTGGCCCATAGGGAAGGGCCARCTCTGACAGCTCATGGCCTCCTATAGCACAGGGCTAGTTGGATGGCAAGGCCCTGGGTCTGGCAAGGGCACCTGTGCCTCAGGGTGAAAAAGTGGCTTCCCCAGGCACCTAAAGCATCGCCTCTATCCCATGGTCACAGATTGTCCACAGTCCTTGGCCCTGAGCCCTCCTGTCCTGACACTGAGCAGGTACAGATGGGCAAGGAGCAGCTGCCAGCACCTGAGAGGTAGAGTGCGGCAGAAGCACCTGCTGCAGGTTGGAGCTCTGACCCTGCACAGTCTCAGGGGGAGCCTAGGGTGTGAACTTCTGGAGCGTGGAATTCATGAGGGCTTCTGTCCCTTTTACCTTCCCCCTCCCTCTCCCCAGGAAGCCTGGGCCTGTGTCYAGGTGTGCTGGCCCCTTGCTCCCTGAGAGGGCCCAGGTGTGTTCAGGAATGGTGGCCTGGGTTGGGCGTGGACCCAGGGCCCCTGGCATGCCACAGTTGGGACTGGCCACTAGAGCGGCTGATTTGCCTGCAGGGGGTTCCCACGTGGCAGCTTCCCTCTTCCTGGGGACGTTCTTCGTCAGCGCAGGTCTCATCCTCTCTGTGGCTGGGTTCTTCTACCTCAAGCGCTCCAGTAAGCTCCCCAGGGTCTTCTACAGGAGAGACAAAGGTACTTCACCCCTCCTTCTCCCACTCAGGGGCCTAGGTGGTGCCCARAGGGACAGAGCAAGTGCCAGGGCCCCTCTCTGCCTACCCTACACCAACATTTGGGTGCTTCTGGGGGCTACTATAGCTTCAGGTCCTGAGAGTCCAAGGCTGGGCTGCTGCTGCTGGTAGGAGTCTTGGGGTCTCCAGTCGAGTTAGGTGCCTGGGGTCAGCTCCCAGAAATGCCCACCCAGCATTTCTGCCTTCCAGGCCATCCCCAGAGCAGAGTAGACCTGGGTGTGGCCATCTCAGGTGGCCCAGGGAACCCCAGTGGAGGCACCCATGCCCGTATGAATAACGTGGGGCTGATGGCCACTGCCTCACTTGCAGCACCTCTGGGAACCCAGAGGATGGAGGGGTCTCTGTCCCCCACACTGAGTTCTCTGAGCCAGAGAAACCACCTGAGGAGCATGGCTTGTATGCTCTGGGCAAGTGGGAGGGAGGTTTCTGGGAGGTGGCTCTTCCTGGGATGCTTGAGTGGCTTGCCCCAGGTGCAGGCCATGAATGTGGCCCAGCTGAGACTCAGCTGAGGGCCCTGCTGGGCAGAAGTGTGGAAGTGGTCCCGGACCCAGCCTGGATCCTGGGAAGAGCCTCTGCCTGCCTGTGGACCTCACTGGATGCAGGCAGCTGCTGGGCTCCAGGGTGATGTGCTGTTCTCTTCTGCAGCCCCAGGCCTGCAGCCTGGTGAAGTCGTAAGTAATCTGCACCCTCCCGGCTGAGCGTCCTGGGCTCCTGTCCCGTGCTGAGCACCCAGATCTCACTCTGCCTCTCTCTCCTTTCAAGGCTGCCATGATCCCCCCACCACAGTCCTCAGGTAAGGGCAGGTTATGTCACCCGGGGTTCTTGTCTCTGGGCCACTTTCCAAATGCCAGACCCAGGGACCTCTGCAGRTTTGTCCCTAGACACACATGCCCACCTCTTGGGTCCCAAGGAGACCACTGCATGAAGGAGGGACAGGCGCTTGACAGGCACCCCTGGTCCCTGGTGCCCACCAGCTACATGGCTGTGTGCTGTCCCTTCCTCTTCAGGAACTGAGACTGAGAGAGGAGAACCCAGCACAGGGCCAGACCTTCCCCTGCACTTCCTCCAGCCCTGCTAAGTCCATCTCTGCAAGAAGGGTTCAGGGAGCAGGTCCGCCCCTGGGTCTGGCCCCACCAGCACCCCCACCCAGTTGTGACCCACTGTCAGAGGAGACTGTGAAGCTGAGTCCCTGACCACAGACACAGCTGTGAGCCCAGAGCAGAGTCACCCGCCTCCCTCCCCAGGCCATGCTCTTCCCACTGTGCAGAGGTCTGGTGGGGACAGGCAGCGTGTCCCTCCCCCTGGGGCAGAGCCGTTCCTAACTAAGGCCCAGCCTGCCCTGTTCAGGCAGCACTTGGCTCCGGGCAGAGTGCACCCCAGGTGGCTGAGACAGCAGGAGCGCTCTGACAGCTCTCAAGGTCGGAGTTAGAGACCCAGGAGTGGGAGAGGGGGACCCTGGCTCCCAGGTCTGCGGGACCCTCCTACCTTCTCGGCTCCTAGGCAGTTAGGTGTCCCTGGCTGTGGCCGCGTCCCCTCTGTCTCTGCTCCCTCATGTCTTTTTTCTTTCTGCCTCCCCCTGAGGAGGACACTGGTCATGGCATTTAGGGCCCACCTGGTTGAGGAAGGAGGGTCTCACCTGAGATCTAAGTCACATCTTCCCCGACCTTTCTCCCAAATGAGGTCACACTTGCAGGCTCTGGGGCTTAGGACATGGTCCTAGAAATGCATGATGCCTGCACCTTAGACTTCAGGGACAGCCGGGCCCTGATCCAGGCCCAGATGTGGGGGTGCAGGGTCCCAGGGTTTAATGGGAAACAGCCAGGCTAGGCTCCCGGGGGCATGTGGCAGGAGGAACTGTCTCTTGACAAGTGGGAGCCTGTGGGAGCTCTAAGGGCGGGAGCGCCTGGGCTCTTCCTGGGTCAGAGTCAACAGGCCCCTGTGGTGCCCCACACCTCCAGCCACATCCTCTGCCGTCCTCCAGCCTCTGTCCCTGGCTCTGACACAGCTTATCTCTGACCCCATTTCAGTGCGAAAACCAAGATATGTCAGGCGCGAGCGGCCTCTGGACCGGGCCGTGGACCCTTCTGCCTTCTCCACAGCAGAGGCCCGAGTCAGCAACGTCTGACCTGGAAGCTGATCCAGACTGCACTGCCTGCAGCTTGGAGGCTGGAGGATCCCCCTCAAAGAGCCCCCYACACAAAGGGCTTGTCACCTGGGGCTGGGGACAGGCCAGACCTGGCTCCCAGTGAGTGACAGGCTGAAGGGGAACCCACCCACTGGTTCTCGAAAGTCCTTTTGCTCCGTCCACCCTGCTTGGTTTGACCCACAGGAGCGGGCAGATGTGAGCCTGGGGGGCTCAGGCCACAGCCAGACCCACACAGCCAGAACTGTTAGGAGACGGCAGGGTCCCGAGGCTGCTTGCACCTGGAGAAACCAGGGGAGGCTCTACCCTCTGGAGTCCGTGGTAGCAGGACCCCTCCAGGACCGCCCAGCCCAGTGGCCCCCACAGACCCCTCTAAGAGGAATGAAGCTGAGGCCTGGCCGGCAGCAGGATGCAGCTGTGAACCTAAGACTGAAGCCTCCAGGTTGCCTTGCTCCTGTGGTGGCCAGGAGGCCACAGCCACACCCTCAGGAGCTACAGAACTGAGTTCCCTGAGGCACTGCTGTCCCAGTCCCAGGCCTGGCACCCCAGGCCTGACACACTGGCCAGCAGACACCCAGGCCGGGCACCCACAGCAAAGTGTCCACACATGGGTCCTCCACATCTGAATCCCCAGGTGTTCTGGGCCCGTGGAAGGCATGCTGGCCAGCGGCCCTTGCCYGGTGGTCCTGTCCCAGCCATCCCAGGCCACCAGACACTGCCTGCACATGGCTAGCTTGGCTGGGGCCACCAGCCAGGGCTTCCTGTAGAGGAGGCTCGATGGTGGCCACCTCCTGCGTGCTGGGCTCAGCACTTAGTGGTCTGTCGCTGTCCTCAGGTGTCCTGCCTCATTTCCATCGAGCCTGGCCCACTTCTTGGGGACGTGGCTGTGCTCTGGCACTGTGATTCTGTGTGCAGCTCATCATCCGCGAGTGGTGGACTTGGTCTCTGAGGCTGGCCAGCCACTGGCCCGGCCACAGGGGTGGGGTGCCCATCTGAAGTCGAGTCAAGTAAACTCTTCAGAGCTTCTCCTTCCCTGCCTTCTCAGGGTCCTGGGGTCATCTGYTTTTTAAATCTGTGTGGCACCACCCACCCCACTGCCCTATGCAGGGCCCTATGCAGGGGACAGGGAGACAGCAGGCTCCAGGAGTGCTACTACCTAGTTCCTAGTCGGGCCTCAAATCGGGGACTGCCTGGCTCCTGCCAAGGGCCCACCCCTGAATGCACCCCTTCAGCTCCCAGGGTGTCCCCCAAAAGACAGCTTGCTCCAAATCCCCTTGTTGGAGAGGGCCACCCAGGTTCCTTGGGACCCAAGATGGGAGGATGTGGGCATCTCTCCTGGGCTGTTGTGGAGAAGAGCCAGGCCTGTCCGGGGCATGCGGACGGGACCATGGAGACCTGGCAGGGATGGCCAGGCCTCATTCACACCCCTAGAAACCCTCAGGATGAGGCTACAAATAGCAGTTTATGGGCTTGACTCACCCTTGGGGAAACCCCCGTGTCCTGGCCACTTGAGCCCAGGGCAGCAGTCCCTCCTCAAGCCCACAGGTGGACAGTTCTTTGGGAGGCTGGTGGGCATGGAGGCATTTGCTGATGGGCAGCAGAACTGGCCCAGGAGGGCAAGCTGGAGCAAGGCAGTTTCTGCCCCTCCCCTGGGCACTGAGAGTCTGCCCAGAGGAGGGCAGAGCACCTAACACTTGGAATGCCCAGAGTCCTGGCCCTGCCCCAGCCCCTCTGCCCAGACTATGGACTGGGGGTTGTGTCTTCAGATACCTGCTGCCCCCCAGCCTCAGAAAGGCCCAGCCTGAGGTCTGCCTACCTGAGAAGTGCTTGGGAACAAGGCCCCCAGTAGGCCTACCCCCCATCACCTTGTTCTGGGAACAAAGGACCCCACCCTGGAGACAGAACGTGAGGAGCAGCGAGAACCACAGGAGGGAGTCTGACCCCAGTGTGCCTCTTTGCACCCGGGACCTCCCCAGGGCCATGCCATCCTGAGCTACCTGCAGCAGGACAGGTGCTTTGGCCAGACTGAGGGACCCCAACGTGATTCTTTAAAATACTTTTTTAGTTGTAGGTGGACACAATACCTTTATTTTTATTTACTTTTATGTGGTACTGTGGATCAAACCTGGTGCCTCTCACGTGCTAGGCACTGAGGCACAACCCCAGCCCCACCAACATGATTTCTGATGGCAGGTAGGAAGGGACATTTTGTGGCAGACAGAGAAGGCCCCCTCCCTCTCTGGTCATCCTGAGCAACCCCTGCCCAGACCCTTCTCACTCATGCTGACCTGGGACCTCTCCCTCGCCCCCACCCATGGCCAAAATCGGAAACAGGTCACGACAGCCCCCTGCACATTCTTCCCTAGAGCCCAGCCCCCCACCCTTCATTCCCTCACCTGCTCACTCAGTATTCCCTGGGCAGCACTGGGGGAGGTGCCCAAGCTGACCAGGGAAGGACTCRGGTGGACCTGAGAGTGATGTGGGTGGTGGGTGCACAGTTAGATGGGGCCTGGGTCTGGGGGCTGCCTGGGCTCTGAGCCTCAGTGGGGTGTGTATCAGTGAGGCTCAGCAGATGGGGGTTCTGAGCAGGGGCTATCAAGAGATCTTTGGGGACTGCAGTTTCACTGCTGAGTACAAAARGGACAATGCTGTCCAGGCTGCCTCCTTTCCAGAGGTTGGGGACCAGGCCTGGTGCCAGCCCCAGAAGGTGGGGCAAAGGGCAGACCCAAGTGTGCCTTCCACCCCAGAGCCTACCTTCCCCTTCCAGCTTCTGCCTCCATCCATACCTGGGCCTGCGTGAAAGCATCCCAGCCTGGAGCCAGCAGAGCCACGGGGACATGCAGACAGCCTCAGGTGCAGCAACTCAGGGAGGGTGGGCAGTCAGCAGAGTGACCAGCCCCAGGCACACCCTGGCTCGGAGCGCCTCTCCACTCTGGCCCCAAGTACAGCACTGTCAGAAATGGGAGACCAGCTTCACCCAYGGCCCTGGAAGTGGGAGAGCTGCGAACCATGGGCTTCAGGGTGCCCCTTCAAGGCCATGCTCTCCTGGACTCACCTGCACAAGGACAGCTCCTCTATCTGCCACCCACATTAGGTGGGGAGGGATGAGTGAGGGCCTGGCCCAGGGAGCCCCCAGGGTGAGGGGTAGGGGGAGAGGAGACAGGAGAGAGTGAGGCAGACCCTGTGTGCACACACGCACCCATACACTTCATGCATGCACAGTGCTCACTCAGCCACTGTTGGGGTGCTGGTGCACACACCCCATTCACTCGCTTGCCTACTCCTGCCCCACCCACAGCCTGCCAAGTCCCCTCACTGCGGGCGGGACTCCCCAGGCCCAGGTGGGGGAAGGCAGGGATTCTGGCCACACCTCTGCAGCAAGGTCTGGTACATTCCTTGGGCCTCTATGTCACCCTCGCCTCTGGGCACTGACTGTCCCCTGAGGAGCCCGGTGACCTCACAGGAGCCTGGGGAGGAGGTTTCAGGGCAGCCAGGAGTCTACTTCCTGGAGGGCTTGTGATGCTGAGTCACTTGGCTGGCAGAACTGGCTCCAGGGGCTGGTCAYGGCACCCCAGGAGCCCCTGACCCTKCTCAGGGAGCCAGTCCCTCTCTGGTCCCCACCCCCCCTGGGGCCCCACCCCTCTCTCTCTAGGACCCCAACTGCTCTCTGTTCCCCTACTTCCTATCTGGGCCCCCATCTCCTTTCCTGGCCCTGAGATTTCTCTCCACTCAAGGAGCAGGTAGGGAAGCTTAGGTCTCTTCCTGAGGTCAGGTTCCCCTCTGGTCAGGCGTCACCCCCCAGCTCTCCCTCAGGCCCTGGGAGTCTTGTCCTGGGGGAGCCACACCGCAGGGGCTTCTGATGCCCAGTCCACTGAGGCGGTCAGTGGTGCCTGCAGGTGGGTGGGCCCCCGAGGAGCAGGGGCATCCCTTGCCCTAGAACGGTCCCTCTCACATTGTGCCCTTTCCACAGGCCTGTGTGTGGGCTCCAACCTCAGAACCTGGGTTCTTGCTAGCAGTGGGGCCCACATCCCCAGTTCAGCAGCACTGGTGAATCCACCCCTGTGCTAGGCAGAAGGCAGGGAAACCTCAGGACCTGGGAGGAGAGCCCAACCATGGCAGAAAGGGTGGGGAGGGGCCGACATCCACTGGAGGGATCCAGGTCGGTCATCTGGAGCGGAGTGGGCAGTACACCTCCGCTCACAATGGGCGCTCAGGTGAGCTGGCGAGGGGGTTGTCTGTGCCACTGGCTACCTGCTTGGCCCATCCGGCTTTGGTGTAGTCCCCTCACCTCCCTCCACTCTAGCCTCAGCCCTGGGTGAACACTGACACTCGCCCGGGCCTTTGCCCTGTGGTGGACTAGAGCCCCATGCTGACTGGCCAAAGCCAGGAAAGCTTCTGCGATCCTCTGCTGGACCCGGGTCTCCCTGCCCCATGGTACACAGTGCAGGAGCGGGGAGGCTTCTTGCCCACCAGCTGTTGTGACCACCCAGATCACAAATGTCCTCGCTCTGATTTCATCCTCAGAGTTGCTGCTCAGGCCCTGCCCAGCCTTGACCTCTCACCTCACTTCCTGGACCCCAACAGAGGGAGGCTGGGCTGGAGTGGGACCCTGGGCAGAGGCAGAAGAGTGCTAGGCGTGAGAATCCTGAGGACAGTCACAGGTGGATGGGTGGGAGGGGGTGGAGCTTCTGGGGAGGCAGGTAGCAGTGCAGGTGGCAAGCTGGGCTATCACTGTGAGGTGTTTGTGGGTTCCCCTGCTTTGGGCCCACCCAGGAGCCATGGGCAGCCGGAACTAGAACAGAGTGGACAGATCTGCTTCTGCACCCACCCAAGTCCAGACCCCCATGCTGCAGAGGCCTGGGCTGACCCCAGACCCAGAACCTCTGATCCCCAGGCGGCCATGCCTGTCCTGCTAGGTAAAGAGGATGGCCAGCCAATCCTGAAGCCCAAGCCACACCCCCAGCCACCCTGGAGGTATAAAGGCACCTGCCCACAGCTCATGCCTTGAGAACTCACACCTGTCCCACACAGCCCACACCAGGACAAGCATACGCATCCTCTACTCCTGACAGCCCAGGTACACTTGCCAGTACCTCAGGACAGCTGCTGGCCACTGGCCCCAGGAGAGACACCTGCCAGGTGGAGCCGAGGCCAAGCCAGGACTGGAGGAGAGGGAGCAAACGGTCTTGGAGCTGGGGAGCCCAGAGGCTCAGTACCCCTCTGTGGTCGGCGGAGAGGATCATGCCCAGGAGCTACTGACCCCCYGCTGCCAGGTAAGGCTGCTCAGCCTGTCCTCACCCTTCACCTGAATAGGCCCAGGGCGGAGCACCTCTGGGAGGGTGAGGCCTGGTGCCAAGGAGCAAGTTCTGTGGGAGAAAGGTGGGGGAGGGCAGTCCCGAGGTCCTCCCAGGTCTGCCAGGGCCACAGCTATCCCTGAGACGTGGTGACATCACACGCCAGGAGCCTGGGGCCCTCGTGACATCACGGTGATGTCAGGTGACTCACAGGATCGCAGTGACAATTTAGCAATACCTGCACCATCCACCTGCCCCCAGGACTGGCCAGTAAGCCTAGACCAGGGCCAGGAAGGCCAGGGGCCACCTCTTGTGAGGCCCCCTGGGCTCCCTGGGTCCTGGGACCAGAGCCTTTGAGATGGAAGGCATTGTCACTTGTCTGTCCTCTAGGCAGGACCCTGTGGCTGGGGAGGGGCAGCAGGCAGGGCAGGGCAGCTGTCTGGTCAGCGGGGTCTTCTGAGCCCATCAGGGACGTAGAAATGGCCGTGGAAGAGAAGGCCCTGGACCCTTCCACATCCTGCTTCCTCTTCAAAGGGCAGCCATGACCCGACATTCAAGGGCACAGAGAGGATGGCTGAGCCTGCTTCACCCTAGCCGGGGGGGCATTTCCCATCCCTGGTCACGGGCACCAGACCCCGGTCACCAGCCAGACAAGKGGGCCCCAAAGTGTCCAGGGTGCAGCTGGGAAAGCCCTTCCTTGGAATTTCACTCAGGCCTTCCCAGTCTTCCCTCCATCACATGGCTCCKCTGCCCTCTGACCCAGAGACCCCCCACCCACTCTACTTGGCCACTTACAACTCCAGCACGTGCCGACCAACCCAGGCGCCCGCCTAYAGGCAGCCCACAAGCCCAGGGCCCCCATCCTGCAGGCTCCGRGTTGAGTCAACCTGGTGGAGCTGCCCACCCTCAAGCTGCCTTTCCCACAGGGCCCGTACCCCCAAAGATGGGATGCTGCAGGAGCCAGCACAGACCACTGCCATCATAAGTAGAGGCAGGGGGCAGAAGGTGTCCACTGAGCCAGGAGATGCACCCCAGCACCCTCTGAGCCATCTAGGCCTGGGGCCCGCTGGACACCCAGCCCTGGGACAAGGAGGGGAGGGGAGGTGATAGCTGGGGTGAAAGAGCTCCAGGGGCACAGGAACTTTAGAGGTACCCACAAGTGGACAGTGTGTTCCCTGGAATCTGGGGGCTGATGCTGGACACGACTGACCTCATAGGATGGGCAGGAGACACTCACAGCCTCTGTTCCACAGCCCAGCACCATGTCAACAGGCCAGCAGGTATGGCACACGGTGGTACCACCCCACTGCCGGAGCAGCCCCACAGTCTCGACACCCGGGTCACCTGGCACCCCTGGTTCAGAGAAGGTGGCCTCCCCGCTGGAGTGCTCCATCTGCTTCTCAGGTTATGACAACATCTTCAAGACACCAAAGGAACTGTCCTGCACCCATGTCTTCTGCCTGGAGTGCCTGGCCCGGCTAGCGGCCGCCCAGCCCCCGGGCTCCGGCACTGAGGCTGTGCCTTGCCCATTCTGCCGGAAGCCCACAGCTGTGCCAGCTGCTGGGGCCCCTGCACTGCGTACCAGCCGCCAGCTGCAGGCCAAGATGCCCGCACACCTGCAACGAGAGGAGCCCGTGTGGCTAGAGGGCACCAAGCTGTGCTGCCGCCCACTGCCTGCCACACCTGGCCGTGAGGCACCCGGCTTTGTGTGTGTGGATGTGGGCCTGAGCAAGCCTGCTGAACCTACCCCACCTGTGCCTGTCCCAGACCTGGCCCCACGCCGGAGCCGCCTGGCCCGCTGCTGGGCCYGCTGCAGGGACTGGCGGCGCTTGGCCTTGGTCTCTGTCCTGCTGCTGCTGCTGTTCTGCATGGTGCTCTGGCCCGTGCAGTGCGCGCTCAAGACTGGGAACCTGCGCTGCCTCCCCCGGCCACCTACCGCCTCCAGCACTGCTGCCACTGCCTTCTCCCTTGAGCCCCTGGCTAGCAACTAGGGTCACCAGCCTATGGCCAGGCCTCTGATCTGMTGGGGTCAGGAGCACAGCAGCTACTGGAAATTTATCCCCTAGGACCCCACTGAAGGTCCTCATGAGATGGACAAAGGGTGCCCAAAGTCTCTAAGATTGATTGGCTCCTACAGGCCCTAGAAGCTATCCCTTCCCCTGTCACACAGGTGGTGGAAGGGACCCAGGAGGTGCTGGCCAGACCCCTGCCCTCCTCCACACACTGCAATGCATGGAGGGCTTACGGTCTTTGAGGCCATTTCACCAGGGCCTTCCCAGGGCTCTCTCTAGGCAGGGCTGGCCCCTTCTGTTGGAGGGATCAGAGAGCAGAGGCAGGGCAGGCCCTCTGCCCAGGCCACTGCAGAAACTGCCCAGATGCCCTTCTATGCTTGCAAACAGTACATTTTAAAATAAAATAGTTTATATCCCTGTTTGGTAAAATGTTCTCACTCTGTGTCCCCACCGTCACTCAGTCCCCACCCCCCCCCAGAAAGCCCCCTGTTCCACCCAGCCTAGCCTCTGTCCAGGTTCCCCACTGGATCATGGGTGGGACCAAGGACTAGGGGGGCAGCTCCAGTACCATGAGGTGCCCCTAGGGAAACAGGGAAAGTCCCAGGGACCCCAGCAGGTTGGAGCCTCAGCCTGGCCCAGCACCCAGTGGCTCTAAGGGGGCTTCTCTTTCCCCATCTCCCACCATGGCCATCCCTGCATACCCCCAGGAAGTTGTGAACCCCCAGCCCCACCAGGAGAGCTGTTTAGGGAACCACAGGACCCAAGACCCCTGTGGAAACCAAGGCCCAAGGGTCCCTGAAGCAGAGGTGGTGACAAGCAGTGGTGGCCTGATGATCYAGACCTGGGGTCCCTCTGGTAGACCCTCAGCCCTCCTGAGCTAGCCCACCTGCTGGAGCAAGTGCATGCAGCTTTGTGGGCTGGGCATCCTGCCCACCCCACCCCACCCAGGTTCTGCCATGGCCCCAGGAATCCTGTACCACAAGGTGAGTGAGACCAGGAAGGCCCAGACCTGTCCCAAGGCCCAGATACTTCCTGCTCCTACCAGCAGGGCCTCTGACGGGGCAGAGCGAGAGCAGAGAGAGACCCTGTAGAATCTGGGTCCAGTCCTAGGGACCACATACACCCCGGGCCCAGGACTAGGGGGGCCAGGGATCAGCCTAAAAACAGAACTAAAACCAGCTTTACTCGAGATGCCCTGATGCCACAGGTAGCTGTGAGAAGGAAGGGTGCCTCCATGGACACAGGCCYGGGTGTCACACCCTGTCACACACAGTCACGCATATGTAGAGCCACCTCACCACCAGCAGGGCCAGCACGTGAGTCTGCACACATGGTCACCTGAGCATCTCTACAGGCTCTCATTCCACAGGCCTTATTGCACAGGCATGGTGGTGATGGGCAGGGCACACAGGTCAGCAGGATACTAATACCGATGGCTGCTGTCATGTCAGGCATGGACTGTCCCTGTTGCTCACTYCACACACAGGCCCACATGGAGTGGCTGGACTTGAGGCACATTCAGGTTCACATGTGGTCACTGTCAGCTCTGCAGTCCTCACAAGGCCAAGGGCACTGGATCTCAAGACTGTTTTCCTATCAGTCGGGTCCAGGTCTGGCAAGTCTGAGAGGTGGACTCCAGGCCCCCCCCACTCCAACACCTGAATATCTCAGGCCCTGAAGCAGCCCTCTGAGGAGCCAACAGCTTCTAAGGGCTCCAGCCCTACCCCAGGGCACAGACAGGGAGGCGTGGGAGGAGGGTGGCAGARGCCCCTCAGCCCCCAGGCTCTGCAGGCTCTCATAGAGGCCGGCGGGCGGAGAAGCCGGTCAGCTGGCTGCACCCCAGACCGTCGGCCAACTCACGCCGCGGGCGACCGGGACTGCGCAGGTCGGGGACTGGGGCCGAGCTTCTAGTCCTCCGCTSGGACTCGCGCTCCGCTGGGGGCCCACGCAGTCCCCGCCCCGTCCCCACCTGCTCGCGCAAGCGCAGCTGCTCGCCTCGGATGCAGCGCTGTCGCGCGAGGTACACGAACTGGTACTGCGCCTGGGTTTGCACCATCCGCAAGCGCTGCTGCCGCACCAGCTGGTTCGTTCAGGGCAGCTGGCCAGCAGAGGCGGCTGGAGGGGTCAGCAGCGAAGGGGGCGGAGYCGTAGGGTGGGCTCTGGGTGGGGCTAGCGGGGAGGGCAGGGCCGGAGGGGCGAGGCCCGTGGGAGGGCGGGGCCGTCAGGTCAGGAGTCGGGAGAATGAAGTCGGGAGAATGGAGCCTGGGGGAGGGGCAACGGGAGAGGGTGTGGCTTCTATGGGGCGTGGCCTCCGGGAGGGGAGGGGCCGGAACTGCTCACCAAATTTGCGGATGAGGTCCACCAGAAAGTCAGACACCATGATGGTGCCCTGGCGTCTGATGCCCGCGTTGGGGTCAAACCAGGCGACCTCTTAATGAATTCAAGGAGTGAAGCCCTGGTCCCATCCTTACCAGAAGGCCTGGTCCAGAGGTCCAGTCTCCTATCGCTCCCTGCAGTCCCACCCCTGGTAGCACCTGGCCGTGCACCACTGTGAGACCAGCGCCTGGCAGGGTTCACCTCATCCAGGTCAAGTACTGGAAGTGCTTCGTTGTGCGCGGTGGCTCCTCCTGGGTGGGGCAGGTCTGGTTTGGAGAATGTGAGCCGCAGCTCCCAGGTAGGGACACCAGGGTGAGAAGGTCCTGTTAGGACCCCTCGKTGGGAGGGGCAAAGGGGGTGAGCTGGGAGAAGGTGGAGGGGCTGGGGACAGGCCAAGGCCCAGCAGGAGGGGAGGAAGGAAAGGAAAATGGAGGTGGAACAGAAAGGGAAGGAAAGAAGGAGCATGGCAGGGCAGGAGTGGGGAGGGAGTTTTGTTTAGGCAGAGCCAGCCTCCTGCCTGAGGCATTCGCAGGAYCCTCCCACAAAGAGGTGGTTGGTCAGATCAGAGCCCTGTGCTGCTGGGAAGGGGGAAGGATCTGTGCCTGGGGCAGGAATAGGCACAGTGGCACCCAGAGAAGACAGCTGCCGACAGGAGCCCGGCAGAGACCTGGGGAGGCAGATGTGAGCATGAGCCACCTGGAGCCAGGGCCAGGCCCTGGAGCTGGGTTGAGACGAGTCCTCTGTGAGCAGAGCCCAGTCTGTGAACCAGGTTCAGGAGAACCGCAGCCACCAAGACCCGTGGGGATAGACGAAGTCAGGTTTCTCAGCTCAGGACCTCCTCTCTCTCAGCATGGACCTGGGGACACCTGGCCCTCTGACCTACAGCCACACACATTCCACTGCCCACCACACTCACCTGGTCTGGCCGCCCCATCTGTAGCTTCTGTGCATAGTAGCCCTGTGGCACACACATATATGGCCTTACTCTTGGTGGCCCTGAAGCTCTGGCCAGTACCAGAAACACTTGTTCTGAAGGAGGTCAGCCTGGGACGCCTGGCCTGGCCAGCACACGCGTACAGGTGCAGTCATGGCTCTTCTTCCTCCTTCCGCCCCAGTGCCCCACAGCTCTGTGTCCCGGAGGAGGAGCTGCTTCCTTGACCAGTTAAGAGGCAAGCCTGGACCTCACAGTACAGGTAGGACTCCGGGCTCCTACCCGCTCTTGCTCCACCTGTCTGATGGTCATGACAGTGACTTGTGTGTTCTCTTGGTACATCCTGCCCCAGAAGGCAGCTGCCGTGGTCTGCAGGGACCCCTGTGTAGCAATGTACACTTTGCCCACTCCCAAGTCTGATTTCTCCTCTGGGTCACTCTGAAAGGGGGTGGATGTCAAAATTAAAGCTGAGAGGACAGATCTAAGTTTATGCAAGTGTGCAAAAGAGCCTAGGTAGTCCGTGGTTCCTCACACTTAAGGCCAGGGGAGGGCTGAGGAGTCACACTCAGTCCAGCTTGCTCTGAAGACCCTGCTGGCAGGCTTTCAGCCCTGCCAGGGTCCACGCTTTGCTCTCCACCCCTGGGACCTGGCTCTCTGGGACCTCCCAGCATGGTCTCTGGTGCCTAAGATGGAGCCCGGATGACTGGAGGGGGCAGATACAGGTCAGGATCTCCGGTGCGATCCAGATGGGCCTGGAGGGCAGGATGTCACGCACACCTACTGCTCCCTCACACACCCACCTGATGCAGTTAGCATCGATGGAGTCGGCTTCAGGCAGGCTGGTGTCCACGTCAGGCAGGGTGACATGGGTGGTACCAACTGGGAAGGGAAAGAGACCATCCAGGTCCCTGGAGAGGAGGGAAGCTCAGGGGCACACCCTGTTTCCTTGCCCACTGACCTGTGGTGAGCAGAGGTGGGGAGTCTGGGTGTGTAAGAGGGAGCCAGATCTGGTGGTGGGCACTCCCTGCCTCCCCCAGGACCCCTGCCAGGTGGTCTCCATATGCCCACGACAGTGAAGCACTTGCCTCACGGGGAAGGACGTTCTTGCAGAGGTTATTGGGCTTGTTCTCTGGCCTCTGTCCCTTCTTCCAGGGTGACAGGAGCCAGCATTCCTGCTGCTGCAACACCTGGGAGAATGGAGGCTTCAGCTGTGGCCCTGTCCCTCTGTAGAGCCCTCAATGCCACCACCCCTCCATCAGCAGCTTCTCAGCCTCCTGGCCAGACAGGTGCCTGTGGTACCACCTGGCCCAGGGTGAAGCACAGATGAGGTTGGAGGCCCCAGCCTGGGAGAGACTCGTAGGAAGCTGACACTTGAGAAACAGATACGGAGACAGAGACAGACAAGCCTCAGACCTCAGGCCCAACGGCCTGGGGACTAGCTGGCCCCACCCTCTGACCCTCTCTTCCCCCAGGAGTGCTCAAAGACAAGACAGCTGTGTTGAGCAGGGTGCGGGTGGCCACCAGGTGGCAGCCTGGTCCTCAGCCACAAGAAGCAGAGTGGCCTCCCAGACCAGCCCACCAGGTCCCTGGCACAACCAGCTTCCTGTCGTGGGGAAACAGACTGCAGGAGCTGGCTCACCCCAGTCACCCGCCAGGAGGGTAGTGGTGGCATCAGGGCCCAGTCCCCTGCTCTCTCACCCCTGCACTTGTGCTTTGGACTTGGGGTCACCGGCCTCAGAGCACACGGGGGGCAGGGCTGCCGACACTCTCAGTTTGGCGGCCACTGCACCCGGTGACTGGAGAGTAGGTGAGAGGCGGTCCCCAGCAGACTCACWCACTCGCATACACTACAGGCGCCATCAGCCCAGGCTCATGGCTCTGACTGGGGTCCTGGYGGCCCAGGGGCCCTGCTGTGGTCATGGAGCAGCCGCCCACACTG